CCCCCCGGGCGTCTTATCACCGGTTTTCACGTAATCGGCGGATATCTGCTTCTGGAACAGGCTGATATAGAGTTCGAAATCGCGGGAGGTAAACTTCGGACATTTCCGGGGGGGGAGTAAAGACGGGCAGGCGGCATTTACAGAGACGGAGTAAAATTTTAATTTTTTCGAGTCTTCTCCTTCTCTCTCTCACTCTCTCGCTCACGGCATTGGAACCTTTGCTGGCTAATCGCACGAAAGCCCAACGTTTCGGCAGATCAATGGCGGCGAGCTGCTGAGAGCACGGAGGGAGAAAGGATATACATGTATACAATATACATACGTTTATGGGTACAAGGGAGTAAAGGCCGCCGAGAGTCAAAAGGACGAGTGTAGACGAAAGGACTCCTATAGAGGAGCGGGAGAGGAATGGAATAAAGGAAATCTATGTATATATATATATATATATAAGAAATGTGACTGAAAAGGGAGTGAAAAGGAACTGGAAGGAGAACCGAGTCGTTACTGGCTACAAGCATTGTAGATACACGTATATTCTGCGCGTACGAGGTTAGGTATATGTATACCCAGAAGTAGCGTAACCTCGAAGAGGCTTCACTTGGTACGAGAGCACTGCAAGGATTATCCGACCGCGACGTTGAGGTTGTATGGCTGCCGGCGTTTTCAACCCTAATCGAATTTAAGGGTGGCATGGCGTCAAACGTATCTCTAAAAGTCTTTGGTCTCTTTGAATGGAGTCGTGGCCAGCCTTTCAGTCGTTACATCTACAGTCACATATATATGTTAAAAGTGTACTTTGTGGACAATTTGAATTATGCAACGTACAGTTTGAGAAGGAATGTATACTTTGGGGACAGTCCTCAATTTTCAGCGTAATGACCGCTCTGAGGAACCATAAAGCAGACTGTCACACCAAATTTATTTACATTTTTTTCCAATGCTAGGCATTCGCTATTTGCAATGGGCTCAGGAATGTTTCGTTGGGACAGACTAGCTCGGAACTCGAACACTGTGACGTCCCAAGGTGGTACTCTTAAAAAAAAAAAAAAAAAAAAAAAAAAAAAAAAAGTAGCTTGCCATTGTGAATGCCCCTAAATTTGTCGTGTCTTCGAGCTGTACCTTTGAAAAGCTTTTAATAATTCTCTATACGTACACGTGTTTATTACGGATACGTGGAAGTGTGACGTATTTAGCAGGGAGCCCACTTTGAAAAATTTGCAATTCCGTGAGTACCGGCAATAACAATTGTGCAAGCAAGTTATTACGTATACAGGGTAGAGGGACGAATTGTTAACAGGTAACGCGCGCGTGTAAGATTTATCGCGTATGGACTATATGACCTTTCTTAAAAGTCTCTCGTTTCGGACATCCCTATCCGACTTGTATATGTTGCACGTACTGTACCTTTCTACGATGAAGCCAAGGATCGTTTCGTTTGACTCGAAATTCGACGACCGGACCCCGTGTCACCGGTGGCTCCAGCACGCTTCGTTATCCTGAAATAAATGAGGAAACCGGCAGCCCCGTCTAGCGGACGCACTGTACAATTTGCTATAGTGATGAAATGAAGAGGACAGCCCCTCGGGTATAACCGAGAGATATAATTCCGAGCCCTGCCGCCACCCTCGTGCCGGCTCAACTTCCCCTCTATTATCTAGCCTGAATTTTCCAAAAAGGACAATCTTCGAGTTATGATAAAATTATACAGCGAACTTGGCCAACCGTGAACCCCGAGTAATTCCCCGGCGAGAGTCGAAAGGGTAAAAAAAGAAAAGAAGGAAAACGAGGACTTATCGCTGCCAGAGCTTAGCTGCTTGTCGACATGACATTTTCATGGTGCTTGTACGATCCGAAGGCACCAGGGCATTCTGGGTAGCGTTGAATGCACGTATAGCGCGCATCCAGACAATTGCCGAGAACCTCAGGGTAATATAATGAATTTCGAGACAAATGATGGTAAAATTCGAATTTTTCGAAGTGGATCATCGGAATAATAACGCGGGAATATTTTAATTGCAAGTCTACCTATATGTGCGTACAGATATAGTTACTGATCGAAAGTCACGTTCGATCACTTTTTTCTGTCGTTCCGGCTGCCCTGTGTGTTACAACCACCACCCATCTTTGGATGACTGTATACATGGCTGAGAGTTCGCATAATTAATTTTCACGACACACGTGAAGTGCCTCCTCGAGCTGTCAGGGGGGTTTGCCCTTGCTGCAAAGGGGGTTGGAAACGCGTCTAGTGGAAGACAAGACCAGAGGGTTAGGACAGGGACGATACGCGCCTTCTCATTAAAATGAACAATCTTCGCTGGCACTTGTCTACATTCTTCGAGAACCTTCGTATATAGCAATTATGAAGGTACGAAATATAGTGGAATTTTACAGGTACCCATATATACCAGAGGACGGACTAGGTATATTAATAGGGGGGATAGATATTAAATACATAAACATTCGTAATGGCTGATAACAGACGATACGCAGGTACTCTCAGATACATGGGATGCTGGATCAGTTAATGATAATTGGGGAAATAAGAAATTTTTTGAAAATGACTGATACGTAAGGCACTTTAAGCGATTGCCTTACTCGCAATGAGGGGTGGGGATGGTTACCAGGGAGGGAGGGAGGGAGGGAGGGAGAGGGAGGGACAAGAACCAAAGCCACAGCAGCAACTTCCACTCGAGAAAAATCCCAAGTGATTTTTAACTCGCACAAGCACCCTGCTAATAAATTAGCCAAGCTTATCCTGTGATGCTGGAACCGCACCCTTAACCCCCCCTCCGACCGAGGTAAAATAAGTCGCCTGGCTAATCTTTATTCGGTGGATTGGCTGTACCTAGCGTAATCCTCGTAACGCTAGGTTTAACCTTCAACCGGATACTTTTCCAGGTAGTAGCCGGATGGGGTCATAGGTCAAAGATCCTACCTACGTGAAACGAGCGTAAGGGTCCCGCGTCGTCTCAGGGAGGTACCCTACACGTTCGTATCCCGTTGCACGCGCTGCTCTTAGAAATAAAAAACACGTGTATCAATGTGGAATCTAATTTTCTTAGGGCATTAAGGGAAAAAAATAAACATAAATCAAACCCTACAGCCTCTAAAGTTTCATGCTTGACTCGATCCTTGTCACGTGCATCGGAAAAGCTCCGTGCTTCGAAATCGATAACAATATACCTTTACGGAACGGCATGTACGTAGACGCAGCTATGCTTAATCGTAAAAGCGAAAAGGAATTTTCTACAACGTCCCCCTAACCTCAAAGGTGCATTTTCATTAAACGAAACGTCCTCCGCGCGTCCCGCCGACTCGTAAAGCCCGAGCGCGATTTCTGCGAGCGTTAAGTTTCATGGTGATCGGTAGAGCGCGTAACGGGCCGCGACTACCATGTAGAAGAGGCGGTTGCTCGGCGACGAGGATTTACAAAGGTTGTACAGCGGGACGTAACAGTGCTGTCTGGTATGTGCGCACGTGGCCGATGGAGTACAATACAGAGGTTATAACAACCTGGGTAAATAAGAAGACCGAGGCGAAAAGTAAGGCCACCGCAAGGGTATACAGTCTAGTCATCCCCTTAATACGACCATAGCTATATAAAACTAGCCTTATACCACTGTGCCCACCATATACTCACTTAGAAAACCCTCTCGGCGTTATAACGTGCGCCATTTTATTCCCATAACTTTCCTGAAATCCTAGAAAACGGCAAGCTGGCTCTTTTCGTGGTTATCCCCCGCTCCCTTATCCCTCTCGTGGGAAGGTCGGTGAAGAGTTTTTTTCTAACGGATTAACCGGTGTAAAAGCTCCAGTACGCAGTCTGGCGCCATACCGGGAGCTTTATTTTTCTTTTTGTTTAGCCTAAGCGCAGTGCGGCCAACCGCGAAATTAATGATACAGCTATTTACGTCACCGGCAGCGATACATAATTCTTGGCGAAAGCTGCGGCACACGTTCCGGGATCACCGAGGACGTGTGGCAACGTTGTTTCTCGGTGTATTCTGGGTAATCGGTAAGACTGTGCCTCGGTCGGTAATGTCGTATTGCAGAGTGGGCGCTCTGGGCAGATAATCGCTCACCTGTAACAAAGGAAATACGAGGAGGAATTAACGAGGAGTGACAACGCGGCAATATTGATATATAGAAAAATGAAGGAAAGCATAGGTCGGAAAATTGCAAAAGCACTGTATTAACGGGAAATACGGAATTAACGTTCGATGAAATCGGGAAAAGGTTTCAATTGCGATATCCGTTGCGCTCTTATTTGTTAAACCGCAACGAGGTATAGCCCACGATATTTACGACCGGCCGTGAAGCAGCGGCGCTATCTGTCGGACGACGCGTGCACCATCATCGTCTCCCGCAGGCCCATCGGAGGATGAGAAACTACGTAAGAAAAATCCTCGAGTTCTTAACAACGATTATTATCGGCGTAATGAGAAATTCCAGTAACGAGTACTTTATCCGTGAGAGAAGCACGCCGAGAAAATAGTCCAAGAGTCAATTAAAGAGAGGGAGGGGGCCGGGTTGTAGAAAAACGAGGAGCAAGAAAAGAATTCGACTTTTACCGTGGGTGCCTCGATCGCCGAGGGGTGGCCACGTAAAGACGAGCAGAGGTTAACCGTGTTAAGGGTTCAATTGAAACGCGCCCCTAGTAATTCGAGACCAAGTGACGGGGTTCTATTTTCGAAATAATAAGGTAACCCCAACACACGTATAGGTTAGGTCACGTCCATTTGTCACAGCAGCAACCCAACCCTTCCGTCACAACCACCCCCCCCCCC